TTATGGAAAATATATTTGAACTTTTTTAACTAAATCCCATAGCAACAGCCAATCAATTGTCTCATACCAGGGCAACATAGCTCAATTTAATTAAATCACAGTTAAACTTAAGTTGTTAAACGGGCTGTTTAGTAGCATCAAAAGAAATTCTAAATCTTGTTTTAAGATTATAAGCATTTGAAACTAGAACATTTAACTAGGATGGTATTTAGATGTACATACAACAATTTTATATTTGAAAACATTATCGAAAACGCCACACATTTGAATTTAGAAACAAAAATAAAATATTATAAATACAAACCTGACCTGATCTAAGCTAACACCGGGAGTGTTAGATGAAGAAAATTTAATTTAAGCATATTATGTATGTTGATCTACATTTTATTCGTCGTTATCAGCCATACTTGAAAATAACGAATATTGTTCCCCAAGTTATAAATAGTGCAACTATTAAATGTTTAAAATTTTGCATTTTTATAGATATTTTTCAACAAGAGAATTGAGAATCTTTCACGATGCAATTTTGTTTCCCTGATTTAAATATTATAGAAAAAATACACAACTTGAACATGTAATTAGTAATTGTATCTAAGAAACAAATTCCGTAATGTTTATGTTGGCAAAATTTTTTATGCAAATATTCACACCTGCTACACATGTCAAACTACTATTTCGTGTGCTATTGTCATATGTTGCACCATCAGTCGTATATTGCACTATTGTCGTATGTTGCACTATCGGTCGTATATTGCACTATTGTCGTATATTGCACTATTGTCGAATATACATATACAATTACCGTATGGTGCACTATTGTCATATGTTGCACTATTGTCGTATGTTGCACTATTGTTATGTTGCACTATTATCGTATGTTGCACTATTATCGTATGTTGCACTATTATCGTATGTTGCGCTATTGTTTTGAATAGGTGTCTCTAGACAATCCACTGTGGTTCTAGGCTTCCTATATGTATGTATGTACACTTTTCTTGATTTTGATTAACCATTGTCTTTTTATTTTACTGACTAACGTTTTTTCTAAGTTTTAAAAATATCACTGGTTTTCCGCTACTTTTTTTCCTTACTACGCCATAATGACTAATATCGTAATTTATTTTATATAATATGCTCTTGTTTTTCATGACAATTCAAAAGATTCACAATTTAGAACCGACATTTTTGTGACAGACATAATTTCTATAAACATTTTCATTCCCAAAATGTGCAACCTATGTAACTAAACACTGGAGCACCTTTTTACCGTAAATTGTCTAAAATCTATAATTTTAGAATCAGACAGTGTAATAGATAATTAAGATACGAAAAAGTTTAGGACGCTGATTAACACGTCGAAATTACACTGAAAGAAATACACTTTATTCTTTATGAAAATTCTAAATGCCATTATAAGAACATTGTATACTATTTGTGACAGGTAAACAGGTGAATATTGGATATTAATATAGTTCTATAGTGAATATAAACCATATTCTTTATTAAATTGTTGTATAACTATTATCCAACATTGTTTATACTCTTTACAAAATGATAGTTGTAATATTGTAACTGTTATGAAAGTGTTCCATACGTGTTATTAGAAGATCTAGTCCTAATTATAAATTTTATAATAATAAATTTATTAAACTGTTGTATACTTGCTCTGTATAAGTTAAAAACATAATATGACTTTAAATTTTCAGAGATCTTATTGTAGAACTGAAATTACAAGCGGATATTCTAATGTAAACATATAACAAACATTTAAATATTCAAAATTACTATCCAGCTTATTTTCTTAGTAGCGATGCCCGTGTCTTCTTGTATTACATTACATGGGAATTTGCATTATAACTTCCACACTAAGAATGAAACATGCCATGAAAGGTTGACTTTTTTTTCTGATTCTATTTCCTTGGATAGACCGTTAGCATTATGTTCCACCATTTTATGTGAAGCTTAACATCAGGTGTTTCTAATACAGCATATAAGTTAATAATTTTTAAGATTCAGACAAGATTTAAGTATGAAAGAACAAAACAATTACAAACCATAAAACAGTTAGATACTTACATAACTTTCCGCTTTCCACTCAACGCGGTATGATCATGTATCCCACAAAACTTGTGTCTATGCGGTCTATCCTCATTCAACTAGAAGAACCTTAATAGTCACAACGGACTGTCGGAAATGTTATACGATCATAACTTAAGATGCTTTTTACTCGTTGAAAACGGAAACATAATCATTATGAAAATGAATAATTCTGTTAAAAAACAGATGTTATATACAGATTCGGATATTGGTCTTTATACACTACACAAATGGAACATAAAGCCTATGACATATAATAATATATAAGTAATTCATTATAACCTTTATTTCATATATGCACCTGTATTAAGCGCTTTCCAGTTAAACTCATTGAATAATGAGTATGGACGTGAGTGTTTTTTAAATAAAAATTGCATATTTGTGTTAGGTGTATGTTTTCAAGTGGAGCTTATTTACAAGTAATGATTAGATTACCTTACAGGTGTGGTACGTAAACATGTAGTCAGACTGTCAAGAGGCAACAATGGGCAGATGAGATGTGATCAGGGTTCCTGGCAATCACTCGTGATATGCAACAAACAAGTACTGCTGTATGTTCTTAATACGTAACTAATTATGGTTTACACTCACCGGGGGCGCCCCGCCCCGTCCTTACGCTGTCCTATCTGGCGGTCCCTCGAATAAGCATCCCCGATGTAGGTTGTGCATGCATCTGGAACACCTGTAATCAAAACTACACACACATACGCTCACTTCTTTCATCCTCGTATCTCTCGGCTCAGCCCCTGGATACGGCGCCCCTTGGCTAATGCCCTCGGCCTCACCATTCATTCTCGTATCACTCGCCTGGATACGGCGCCCCTGGGCCACGACTACCTCTCGGCCTTACCATCCACTCTGGTCACCAGTCATTCATTCAGTAGTAACACAATAACAATAATAATAATAATAACACCTGATTTATAGAGACAGATCTGCCCTAATGACGTACTTTAATTACTAGGGTTTTAATAAGTAATCGCTGAGAACGTATTCACTGCACTGCTGAAATAAGACTCTCTCGTCTCTAACGCAGGAACCCAGAATCACACCGTCAGCTGAATCTACATAAAATAATAACGCTATGAAATACAACCAATCATTTATTGAGAACTAAGCCCAGTTATTCACTTATTTGTTTATTTAGTTATTTTCTTTTAAAACAGTTCCTAACATTTGTTATAAAAGTTTTACTATGCACTAAGTATATACATTATTAAACACTAGATTCAAAACCATTTTCAAATTTCAAATTATATTCATTTATGACGATTTATCATTAAATACTTTAGCTACACCCTCGATATTTAAGCTATGTCTAAAAACTAGACAAATATATTATGTTTTGATGTCACCCGTTCTAAATACAGTAGAGTAATTAAATAAATTTAGTGGAATTTCGCTTTGGAAAATGAATAACAAAGCTTGTATGAATGCTATTATTGTCAACACGGACCATGTAAATACAAGTGTTATTTTAAGTTCTCATTTCAGACTCATTAATTATTCTGATCATTCATAAAACTTACTACTAACGAAATGGTATGTACTCCGAACAACTCTTATAATTAGATTTATTCACATTCATATATTTGTTCGTGGAAAATATGTGCAGATTTCTTTTAGCCAATACTACACTACAACAAATAAGCAGATGATTTTGGATGTGAATGTACCCGTTACAAATGTATCTCGCAGAATCACATTCGCAGACGGTATCAAAATAAATGGCATACTGCCTAAAACGCGCAACCGGCAATCTTTAATTGGTGCCTTTTTTATTTAACCTCACGATTGTTTTTATTTCAGCCATCTTGTTTCACATCTGATCTGTCACCTTGTTTCCAACAAGAAAGCCGTACAAATTAACTGTATTAACATTTTTTTTAAGTAATTTGAAATGTAGTCATCGATAAATTCTCAGTATGAGTGTATTTTATACTTTTTGTAGTCTGTGCGGATATTTTGCAACCACTGTTCTGGAATGACCGTTTTATATCTAAAATTTAGACAGTTGTCTATTCTGTAATAAAGAATATTTATATTTTCAGTAAAGTTAGTGCCAATTAAGATATCAAATTTAAAGTCATAATTATTAATTATGTAATACTTCGTTTCGAGCGTGACCTCATCGATTTGTGTTTGTGCTATGATATAATACTCAGCCGTGGTGCCGATTCCTAAGAAACCCGATAAGACAGTGGGTTCTTTGAGTTTACAGATAGGAATGTTGAATTTTTCAGCTAATGATAATTTTATCAGAGAGCAGTCACTACCAAAATCTATAAATGCTTTGCACATATTTCCGTTAATGAAAATATCTTTATAAAATTTGGACGTGTTATTTGAATTTTCAATAATATTAATACCTTTAGGATTGTGATTTTGTTTTACATTATTTTGTTCCTGTTTACTTTGAGATTGGACATTACTAATTTTCTTTTTATTTAAACAATAACTTTCGATGTGACCCTTAAAATGACAAAAATTACAAACCTTGTTTTTATGTTTACAAGCTGAACGATCGTGGCCACTCTTGCCACAGGCTTTACAATGTTTATTTCGATTTACTGAATAGACAGCGCTACTTGTTGAGGGTGTTTCATTATTCAGTTTATTTTTCAAATTTTCAATTTTTGGTTTATTTTGAAAACTGGAATTGGTTACATGAATTTTATTTTTAAGATATGCACCTAATGAATTTATATTGGTCATATTTGAGGCTTCCACGGCCGCGCTTATACCACTATTATTAATAGCACCCGTAATCAGTGAAATTTTGTCTACATCGGTGAAATTTAATTTTAGTTTATTGATTTTAGACAAATGTTCAAAATAAAAATCATATAGAGAACAGCCTTCGTTCGGTCTATGGTTAACAAGGTCCATCAATAGTTTATAACAATCTCGATTAGATTGAAAAGTTGATATTAAAACATCTTTCCATTCTGCCCAAGTAAAGCGTGACCACCCCAATTCGCTCTCTATGAACCCATCATACCACGTTTTTGCGGTTCCTTTTAATTTGCTTAGAGCTTGAAATATAATTGTAGTATCAGACCAATGATAACTAATGGCATTGAACTGAATTATTTCAATCCAATCGTTAATATCTCTGAATTTAGGATCAAAATCCGGTATTATATTTGAAACGGCTATAAATTGCGAGGACTGTGCACTATGCGGCTGTATTATAGGAGGTGTGTGACTTACATTTGATCTGGATTTTGATTTTTTCTTTTGCTGTTTATAGTTACGCTGACCGCGATAGTCGTCGTCACTTGAGGTTGATGAGGACGACGAGGGTGACCGTTGCCTTTTGCTCTTCTTTTTGTGACGTCCCATATTGGAAAACGGCACGAGACACTTCAAACTTTTAGTTTTTTTTTTTTTCAACACTCACTTTTCTATTCAACCTTCTGATGTAGTCTGTGCGGGGATGCACAGAAGTAAAAACAGTGTAACTAGGGAAAAACTATTTATTTTCCTTAATTGGACCTCTAGACACAGAGAAATACAATGGTAATCGCCCCATTCGATATCTGCCTTGCTAATTCTACATTTTCTTATATAAACTTTATTGAACAACGACGGTTATTGTAAGGATGCAAGGTGATATCTCGCGCCGGCAAAGAACATGGGCCAGGGTCGGACTGCATTTTGTGTAATTATAACACCGAGACATAAAAAGAAAAAAGTAGTATGTACCTTTGATTTCACCCAATAGGCTTCATGTATTTTGACGTGCTTCATCCGAATCTGTAGTCTGTTTAGCCCCAAAATTTTGAGTAATTGTCAAAGAATAGTGAAAAATCTCCGAAAACCATGCAGGTTACTGAGCGCAAAAAAAACTTGACCTTGGTCAAGTGTGTTTATTATGTATTTTAATGCCCTGAATTCGAGACTGAGGTCTATTAGCTGTATCTTCCCACATATTTTGCAAAAAATAGCTGGAAATGGCAAAAAATCATATTAATGAGGGTGAGAAAATTTAGAAAACGGTTTTCTAGATTGGATGAAGTGTTCTCATAAATTTTGTCGAGTCGAATTTAAATCTAAAGTCTGTTGACAAAAAATCTTAAATAAATGTCATGGATATGAATTACTTCCAAATAAATTCGACTGACTAGAACCAGGCTTTCTTTGATGTTTTGCTCTTACACTTTTCTTCTCTTGTAGTGAACTGTTTTCATTTCGAATGACCTATGCAGCGGGTATAGTAGAATTTTTGAATCAATGGTCTATGATGACGTTCTTATCCTATATGAAACTCCGTTCTGGTTGGCCACTCATTCTGAATGTGGTGATTTTTCCTATCCTTGCTGTCCCATAAATAGAAAAAGGAAGGGATATTTTGTGAAACCTGATTGCTGGCCCAGGATCATGGTTAAAAATTTTTGATTACCGCATGCGTTCCATTGATGTTCTGAATAGTTTATTTTCTCCAACACTATCTCAAATTCTCCTAAGTCGAATTCGAATTCAGCGTATCAAAATACGTAAGAAACACACTTGATTAAGGTCAGAAAATTTTTTTTGCGCTAACTAATGTGATTTTTGCCGATTTTTCGCTATTTTTAGTGATTTTTCGCCATTATTTTGCGATTTTTGTACAATCTCGAGGGGATGCAGCTTAAAAGACTTCAGACTTGGATTCAGCATATCAAAATACATAAGAAACCCACTTGATCAAGTTCAGAGCAAATATTTTCGACTTTTTTGTGATTTTCGGCGATTTTTCTCTATTTTTTGCCAATTATTCAAAATTTTGAGGGTGTTTGAGCTAAACAAACTTCAGATTCGGATTCAGCACATCAAAATACATAAAGCCTATTGGGTCAAATCAAAGATACAGACCACTTTTTTTAGTGTGCCGGTGTAATTTTTGGGAAGACTCTTAAGCGCGATGCAAGTTTAAACTTGTGTCAGTAAAGATTTGTTGATAGTATACTATATTTTCTAAAAAGACTTCTTGCTTCTTCCTTTTAAAATTTTTGTGGCTAACTGGAAAACGAGATAAATAACTATGAAACGCGCCAAAAAACGCTTTGTAAAAATATTACTCTGGTAATATAGATAGTCCGTAACAAAGATGTGTCGCGAAAAACATTTTTTTTTAAATAACTTCAAAATGGCGTACCTATATGTTGCTTTAATCTTACGAGGGAATAGTTTTTCATATGTATGTACATACAGGGTGTCTCATTAGAATTATTTCAGAGACTACTTCGATTTGAATTTTGAAAATTTGAGATACCTGGTTTTCGGGCATGCCCTTCTCAACTAAAATAATGACGTCCACGTACCACTTACTCCCTATATATTATTGCAATTTTGGATTCTACGTGTTATTTTAGGTGGACTTTTATGTTTCCCTATTCCTAAAATTAACCGTTTTTTGTATGTTTTTTTATATTCTGATACACAATAGGCCCATTCAGTAAAAATTTTTTATTGCATATTTCAAAAGTTTACCCTTTAATTAGTTAGTATGCCAAAAATCAATTTTTTGTTTCAACGAGAAATGTGTGAAATAAATTAATGAAAACAGAGCGCGGAAAAACGTTGAGCAACCATTGCTGACGTCATAATACCGGTACGGGCGACTGGCAGTGCACTCCGCTCGCTCTCATCCCATTCTGTGTTAATACATACGGTGTGTGGTTCGCTTGGCAGTTTCGTTAATCATTGTTTTTATGTCTAAATGGATCGAAACCGAAGATTGTACAAATATTGAATAGTTCCAGGCTGCAAAAGTACCTCAGGATCGACTCCGAATAAAATATTTATTTCATTACCGAAAAATGAAAAGTTTGTGTGATGTTATCCACGGTTTCCCCAGCCACGGTATGCAACTCAAAACCACCTTCGTTTTTCTTTGGATGCACGTCTAGGGGGTTGTAAAATATTATTATTTGAACATTTAGAGCACAATTTTCAACTTTATGCCGGAAAAAAAATTCTACCCTATCTAAATGTTCGTGTTCACAAAATATTCGAAATACGTCGGCGAGAGGGACCTATAAGCAACTCAGAACCACCCTCGTTTTTCTTTGGTTGCCCGTCTAAGGGGTTATAAATATTATTATTTAAACATTTAGAGCAGAATTTTCAAATTTATGTCGAAAAAAAAATTCTACCCCATCTAAACGTTCCCGTCCACAAAAATTTCGAAATACGTTGCGAGAGGCACCTATAAGCAATTTATTTAAATAATAATATTTTACAACCCCCTAGACGGGCAACCAAAGAAAAACCAGGGTAGTTCTGAGTAGCTCGCACATACACGTCGTCGTATACATCCACAAGTACCGAGTCTAGTACGTTGGGTACATTTGTACAAAAATGGAAAGCAACAGAAAATGTAGAAAAGCGAACCACTTACGTCATCGAGAAAAATCCGAAAATGTATTTAAATATTCCAAGACATTATATGTTTATAATAAATATGTTGTGTGAAAAATGCATTTCAACAAGACTTGATGTATATCTCTTATACACTCTCTATTTATACACTTAAAAATATAGGTATATAATATAGGTAAAAGTATGGCAAATATCTACACATCTCTCCGTCTGCTCGCGACTTGATCGCCGAGTGGCCGGTATCGTGACGTCATTAGCTGTTCTCTCGCAGTGTTGACCTTTTTAAGGGTCTTACAAATTCAGAATTAAATATATCACTTATTATTAATCCTATTGACCTAATTTTTTTAAGATATAATTAGGTGGTTAAATACTATCAGAAAATGAAAGAAAAAGTTTAAAATTATATATCACTGAATGGGCCTATTCTCTTTTGAACGGTATCAAGATTCCCTGTACGTATCTCTTCTAGTTTTTAAGTTATGTACTATTTTTTGTGTAATCACCTAAAATCATGTAATTTCTTGCGAGGATAGCTGTGGAATTTTTAACAAAACAAATAACTAAACTGTCAATTTGTTGTTAGTCTCTCGCAGAGACAGTTTAATTTAGTGTTTATAAGAAATGGAAAACAATACATATTCAAATGCTGATATTTTAAATTTATTATTCATTCACGGAAGTTGCAATGGGATTATCAGCAGAACATGTACTTACAGTTTTTAATGAGACATATCCAAATGTACCACCAATGAGCAGAAAAAATTTAAGAATATCCACAATTTTTGCAACATATTATATGAACAGACGAGTCAAAATTTACGGGAGAAGGTATTTTTAATAGACATAATACTAATTTGCGGTCATCTGAAAATCCTCATGTTATCCGAGAAAGAAATTTTCAAAATAAATTTAGCGTAAATGTTTTTTATCTAATTAAAGATAACCAAATTTCTTACCATATCTACGAAGAAAATTTAAATGCCGACAGATATCTCAATATTTTGCAAACAGTTGTGGCAGATTTTCTAGATGATATACCTGTAGACCAACTAAGGAAGTGTTGGTATCAATTAGACGGGGCTCCACCTCACTGTCACAACCAAGTCGATCAACAGACGACTGAAATGTTTGAAGATAGATAGATAAGACGCCTAGGACCGTGGAATTGGCCAGTGAGGTTTCCCGACCTCACTCCATTAAATTTTTATGTTTGGGGAGTAATATAGCAACAAGTTTATTCTACACCCGTTGCTTCAAAAGAGGATTTGATTGCTCGAATATGAAGAGCGTTCCATGAATTACCTGCAGCTGAGTGCTTAGCTGTTAATGGGGGCATATCGAACGCTTATGACTTTTTAAGTCATTTTTTTTATCTTAGTGCATTATTATTATCAACATACATAATTAAAATTGTGTATTACTATGTATGAAGTTGATTTTTTAGAATTATTCTTAACTTTATTCTGCTCATTGGTGGAATATTGGGATATGTCTCATTAAAAACTGTAAATGTTCTGCTTAGGATCCCATTGCAACGTCTGTGAATAAATAATAATCAATAACTGGTGACAGTTTATTTGTTTCTTTTGCTAAAAATTCCACAGTTATCCTCGCAAGAAATTACATGATTTTAGGTGATTACACAAAAAATAGTAGACAACTTTTAAAAACTAGAAGAGATAGATAGAGGGAACCCTGATAAAGTTCGAAAGAGAATAAAATTGCGTATCAGAATATAGAAAAACATACAGGGTGTTGCATTTAAAAAACCCGACTTATGAAGGTTTGAAGTTAACTAAACTCGGCATTAAATTTCTAGCACCCTGCAATTAAGCCACTTTGAAAGTATGGATGGGAAGCTTAGGGGTCTAGCTATCCCCCCTATAAATAAATATTGTTGCTTTATTTTTCTTACTGTAAAATACATATGCTTTGAAGCTAGTCACTGTTTCTCTCCATTTTTTTTTAAATTAAAT